TTATTTGGCAGATATAGGGTAGAATAATGGCAGTTTTTTTTTCTATTATTTACCTATTATTTACCCTTTATTTATTCGTTCGACCTGTGTCTATTAAGCCATTATATATTTCAGAATATATTACTTAACTGTAAGGCTCTGAAGGTCTTTCTGCTAACTAATCTATTTATACTTTATAGAATATTAACAGGACTTAACTTTGTAAGGTTCATTCAGACTCTAGTACCAACTTCATAACATATTCTTAGTATTTATAGTATATCTCTTTGTCATCAAGCTTTTAATCCAAATAGCCTAATAGAACTGTAATCTGTTTTTAATATACTAAGATTTTAATATCTGATATTTTTTTTTTAGTTTGAAACTTCTAGCAGTCTGATTAGTAGTAAACCTTACTTAAGGTTTTTGCTTACCCAATTTCTTTATATTAATATTCTTTTTTAAGTTTAGCTTTTATAGTAATACTATTAAAAATCTGTATTATCTTTCTACTTAGATTTTTTTAAGTGGGCTTTAGTTTTCTTCATTTTTATAGATTTACATAACCACAAGAACTTATTTTAGATTTATACTGTCTAGTACTAGTTTATATTTCTTTGTATAATCAAAATTATATAGATATTTCTTGACCTGTTAGTTATACTAGTGTAATTGTAGTTATAGATATTTTATTTTAACTAATTGACAGAATGTTATTGCTATAATACAGATGTATTTTTTTAAATTTTATCTTAGTAGATTTTGAACTTACAATCTGCTACTTAAAAAATTAACAACTTATCTACTTTCTAAGTTGTTATAGTCTTCTGTTTTGTATATTTAAAAATGTTAAATTAGAATTTTAGTTATACTTATATAAAAGTTTATAATAAAACAAAAAAATATTAATATAAATATTGTAACAATTAAGATTAACATATTTATATTAGAAATAATAGTAATACTACAATAACTATGAGGTGTAGTTATGTGAAAGGCCAGAATAATGACAGTCAGACCCAATGTACAGAGCAGACTATAATATCTTGCACAGCTGTGAGAGCTGAGCATATGATGATCAACCTTGTAGAAGACAATTCTAAAAGATCATTTTTAATATCTTTAGCCCTTTATGATCTTGACATATGTTTTAACAAATTTCTTCTTTATTATAACATACCGTATACCAGCGAAATAACACACCCCTGCGCATTAATTTATTCATCTGCACGTTATTTTGGAATGCCCATGTGCGATATTTCGAAATAGAATGTTGATTTTTCGAAATAGGCAGTTTCAAAATAACGCGCATGGTTAATTAAAATCAAAATTATATTAATGGTAAATAGGCTTCAAAATAAACAAGATTTATACAAGAAGTTATTGTGCAATTGTTAACCAATTAGATGTATCTGCATAAAATAAGTAGAAGGGCGTTAACTTATTGCTATCGTTGTTATTAATAGCGATATAGTAAGGTATTTCGCAGATCAGTATGGTACAGGCCGAATTTTACGAATTTTAGAATCCGTACCATACTGATCCGGTGTTATATATATATTAGCGTTAGAGTATGAATTATAGCTGATCAGTATGGTATGGTTCTTAATTTGCCTGTACCATACTGATCTGCTATAATTCATACTCTAACGCTAATATATATAACACCGGATCAGTATGGCACAGATTCTAAAATTCGTAAAATTTGGCCTGTACTATACTGATTTGTGAAATACCTATTAATTATGACATTCTGTAGAGTTAGCGATAATGATTACATTTTATACGTATCATAGCCAATTTGAGTCTAATAGAAAAGATATAAATAGGGTTATAGATCAGTAACAAAAAAACTCTTTCAAACGTTGGTTGTACTCTTGACTTTCTGAGAAGACACTCTTTGACTTTGTGCTACATCTTAAATAGGTTTTCTTGTACACTTGCACTAAAGCATTATTGCATTTTTTTACTATTTAATAAAGTCTTGCGCCCTTTCGTACATATATAAGTGTTTTATTTTTCGTTGGCACTAAATATTTTTTATGTTTATGGTCCAATACAAACACTTTCTAAAGCATGAAGTGCATTGAATATTAACATTCTTTCAATCATTTTTAAACTGTTAGTTCATATTCAAGGATGTGCCCAATTGCCTTGAGCAAGACATCGGCTCTAGGGTTATACTCTAACAGCTCGGCAATTGGGTTTGGACTTTTTTTTTTCTGTTATTTTTTTTTGAATTTACCTCTATGGTATTTTTTTCCTGAATTCATTGTTGTGAATACTTGCTGTAAATACAAGCAATACGAAGGTATGCCCAATTGCCTTGAGCAGGACATCGGCTCTAGGGTTATACTCTAACGGCTTGGCAATTGGGTTTGGATATTTTTTTTCCTGTTATTTTTTTTTAAATTTACCTCCATGGTATTTTTTTTCCCCTGAATTCATTGTTGTGAATACTTGTAAATACAAGCTGTATGAAGGTGTGCCCAATTGCTTTGAGCAGGACTTCGGCTCTAGGGTTATTCTCTAACAGCTCAGCAATTTGGTCTAGATTTTTTTGTTTTCTTTTGAATCCATTGTTGTTGTATAAAGGTGTGCCTATTTGCTTTGAGCAGGACATCGGCTCTAGGGTTATGCCCTAACGGCTCGGTAATTGGGTTTGGACTTTTGTATTGTAAATTAAACTTGAGTTGTTATATTAGATGCATAATGATTACCCAGGTAACTGGCATATATTTTTGTAACACATCATGAATTTTATTTAAGTATACGTGTTAAATGTTGATTTTGAATTTTTATTTCAACTTTTTACTTCTTTTACAAATGAACGTGAACAAAAAATGAAGCTATACTATTTCATTCAAACTTGAAGTAGTATTATTTGCGGAGTCTACATCTAATCGTAAGGCATCATTATTTTACAATATTGATCGAAAAAGAGTTCAAGAGTGGCGAAAACAAAAGTTAGACTTAGAAGCTGTTAAAAACAATGCAAAATTAAGTGTAGATAAAGTACGTGTTCTTAAAGGTCATGGTCGAAAGGCAAAATATCCTGATTTGGAAAAGGATCTATTGGATTACATCAAGCAAAAACGGGATGAAAAAGTTGCTATTACAACTCATATGATTAAAAAAAAGGCCAAAGAGTTGGGAAAAGCTTTAGGTATTGAAGCAAAGTTTTCTCACGGATGGATTGAGCGGTTTAGAAAGCGGTATGATTTAGTAACACGCATTCGAACTCAAGTTGCACAAAAGTTTCCTGAGGATATGCTCTTAATTGTTAGTAACTTTCTTCAAGTTGCTCGTGAAAAAACAAAAAATATAGAAAAAAAATTTATCATTTCTTTTGATGAGACACCAGTTTGGTTTGACATGCTCCAGAGTTCAACTTTTGATTTTCAAGGTGTTCGTGAGGTGGCAATTAGAAGTACAGGACATGACAAGCTACATTTTACAGTAGTTTTAGGTTATACAGCTTCTGGGAATAAGCTTCCGCCAGCAGTAATTTTTAAGCTAAAAAAGAAACTCAAAGGTAAATTCCCGCGAGATATTGTTTTAGCAACAGCACCCTGTGCAAATATGTGGACAGACTTAATGATCTCTACTTATATCCCATGAGCCATACGTGCAAGACCAGAAGGATTTTTTAAAAGCAAAGGTTTAATTTTTGTTGATGGTTATCATAGTCATACTCATAATGATGTAGTTAAGGCGCTAAATATGGAAGGTTTGGAAGTCTTGGAAATACCTGGAGGAACGACTTGTGTTTTGCAACCACCAGACATTTCAGTAAATAAACCTTTTAAAAGTGGAATGAGAAAAAGGTGGAATGAATGGATTGATGAAGGTGAAAGAGAATTTACCAAAAAAGGAGCCTGTAAAAAAGCCTCATATGCACTTATTTGCAAATGGGTATCCGAAACTTGAAAGGAAATTAGTAAAAATCTTTTGGCCAAATCATTTGAAACAGCTGGACTTGTGCTCAACCCTAATGGTAGTGAAAATGATAAAATGTCAAGCCGTCTTCAGGCTATAGTTGAAAACCGTATGAACGATGCGAATGAATTGTTAAATAAAGAAGATGAAGAAAATGATAAAGATAAAGATGAAGAAGATGAAGGCGAAGAAGATGAAGGCGAAGAAAATGAAGGCGAAGAAGATGAAGACAAAGAAGATGAAGGCGAAGAAGATGAAGGCAAAGAAGATGAGGATATATTTTCAAGAGATGAGTCAGATTTCATGATGAGCTAGGTGCTGAAAAGCTTCTTTTTTTTTTCTTTTTTTTTTTAATATTTTTTTTTGTTGATATTTACTTAATTTTAGCTAATTGTTACAATAATAGATTTGTTAAACCATAATTCTTTCTGTCAATGGTAAAATTTATAATTACAAAACTTTGAGAAAGCAACTTAAAAGTGATGTGCAGTTCAAACTGAATAAGCAAAAATACGCAAATTTATCTTCGCTTTTGTACAATTAAACAAATTATAGTGTTTTAAAAATAAATGCATGCTTTGACTATTGATAATGTGTACAACCTATTTTTAGTTCGAGATCAGATATTAATAATAAAAATATCCTAGCAGCTGGACATTAGTGAAAAGCAAGTGTCCACTTATGCACATACGAATCAGTGTATTTTTAATAATATTAAACTGTTTGTCTTGTTTAAAAAAATCTTTTGGTAGTTAGGCCCATATCAGGAACATAGTAATGAAATTACAAAGTGTATGGTTAACTGCCATCTAGAATGGCAAGTATACAAATTCATGAATTTGATTGCTTGCGATTAAAATTTATATGCATTTATACATATAGTCTTATACGTATTGATCCAACTTATTAATGCAATATATTTATGAAATTCATTATCCCTTAATGTTAAATCGGTTTGCAGGCAAATTTGCCTGCAAATTTCATGATTGAACTGTAATTAAGCTACTAAATTATATTGGATTGTAGTTTATAACACAGTAGATTTGAAGCTAAATTGACGGTTTAAGGGATAAAGATGCGTTAAACATATAAATTGGTGATTTGTAATGTTTTGAAATACGTATGTTATTAAAGTAATTAAGATTGATTTAAAATTAGTTTATAAATATTAAACTTTTTAGTAACTGGAAGGATACTAATCAATTCTCGAAGTTTAAGAATGTAAGAAACCTGGATTACTATTTTCCACTAATTACAATATAATTATCTATTTAATAATAAAAAAAAGTTTATCAAGGGGTCAAAAGAATTCATATGCTATGTTTCTGGTTTGAGCGTGACTACGTCACGCAGTTACCCTAGTTAATATAAAATGGATACACTAGCATTTCTGAAACCTGTAATAGGTTAGCTGACAACATAATGTACTATTTGGAACCGTCGGGTTCAAATTTTATGCTGCCATAATAGTCAGGCAGATAGTTGACTAACCTATCACAGATTTCAGAAATGTGATATGCTATTATTATTAAACTACATTATATTCTTATAAAGCGAATTGTTTAAAAAGAAAAAAAAATTGAATAAGCTTAAAATCGAATAAATTAAAAATTCTAATTATAGAAAATCGATTTATTCTATGATTTGCTTGGGTGCGCATTATTTCGGGACGCGCATGCGCATTATTTCGAACCAAATATGGTATTTTTAGGTGGGGCAAATTTCAAATTAACACCCATGAGCATTATTTCGCAGGTATATGGTACCTCTTCTTTCTCACAATCAAACCATTTAAACACTTATACAACATATTGATAAACACAATTGCAACCAAAAAGTTACTAATATTACATTCTTTATTAATTCTTTTTATAGTAAAACTCATATATACCTCAATGACTTACTTCTTTTTAATCATATTATTATTTTCTCTTATCTTCTTTTTAAATTTTACAGTCTTTCTTTTAAATTATATTCTTCCAACTCTACTTCTAACATATCAGACTTATTTCTTAACAATACTTTATCTTTACATTCTTTAACAACCAGGTTACAAACTTCTATACTAATCCAAAACTTATATGACCTATATTTAAATATTGCTATACACAATATTTAAGGCTTTAATATAACAACTAAAAAGGAAGCTTGGCAAAACTACTGTCTCTACAACAATATCAATATAGCATGTATTACTAAAACAAAAATTACTAACAAAACTAATCTTTAGTTTTGTAATAACAATCTTTTTACCTATTTCTGGGCCAATTTTAAAAACTTAGCAGAAGGCACTGCTATTATGATTCGTAACCAACTCAAACCTCATATACATAATTGTTAAACATATTTAGGTGGAGCTATTGCTTTAGACATTTTTTCAAAAGTAATATTAAACTTTACATTATTGTATTTACTTTTTTTCTACTGAAATGCAAAAATAGAATAAAATACAAAACACAGTAATTACATAAATTCAACAAGCCTATCAACTAAATCTACATTCAATTGTTCTTGAAGACTTTAACATACATGACAACATTTGTAGCTCCTCATCCAAATTTCAACTTTTTAACTATCTACATCAATCTAACATATATGATCTTGAAGCACATGTTAACAACAAACACTACACATAGTTAAACAATACTAGTCAAAGTTATATTGACTATATTTGGACTAACTCATTCAATATACAGTTCTTTCTTTCATATAGACTTAATGATAGTAATACTTTTACATTAAGAGTAGGGGGCATGTAGATCATTTTTATATAGTTATATATGGTATATTAAAATTTTCATCTAAAATTAATATATGTTACTAATAAAACTTTTTTATTTTTTAATTAATTAATAAAAAA